CACCTCCATGGGGACCTATGGGGCAGCAGCATCTCTGTGGTTTAAGTGTTGTTTGGGAGCAGGAGGGTTGGAATTGGATGATCTTTAAGGTCCCTTTCAATCCAAACCATTCTATGAGATAAATAACCCCAAGAGCACTCCTAACCCACGGTGAAGGTGCACATGGTGTAACACACCAAGTGTAACACACGGACCAGGCTGACGCTGGCCCTGAAATGCTTCTGAACACACACAGTGAGCCCAAGGGGACAAATCGCATCCTCATGGGTGCCTGCTTTCCCAGCCCATGCAAGTGTAACGCTGCCCAGTTTGCTCAACCTTTCCCTCCCCATCCCAGCATCTCCGAGCTGACTTCCCAGGATGGTTTGGACCCATTGCATTGCTCTCTATGGGAGCCCCAGAAGTGGTGCTTACCCTCCCTGGGAAGGTTGCCAGCCTCTGGATGTCCCAATGCTCCCTCAGCATCTTCTGAGCCCTGCTCCAAACTGTCCCCAACAGCTCCTGCCTCCCTGGAGAGTGCAACTGGGGGAACTGGAGCAGGGGGGGAATAGGAACACGTGTGATAAATCACCGGGACAACCGGGATAAGTAGCCCTATTCTGCATCAGCTGCTACTTAACGCACTTAATGTTAACTAAGCAGAAGGACTGAGCTTAAGAATTGCTTTTTACCCCTCTGCTCTGGTGCAGCAGAAGGCCACCAGAGCCTGGAGTGACCTCTCTCTGCATTAACCATCTTCCAATCTATTTGTTTCTCTATTCCCCCCTTGGCCAAACACCTCCTTATTATGGAGATATCCATCATTTCATTAACGAAGCATCCCTGCGCCACGCAGTCCCCATAGCACCAGGCAGCTGCTCACAAGGCAGCATTTCATCCCCGAGCCAGCAGGGTGGATGTTGGGACATGTCACGACTTGCTTCCTGCAACCATTGGCTGTAAAACCCAGGGATCAGCCTTGGAAAAGGCAGGGGGATGCCAGTACCCACGGCAGGGATACATGTGGGGGATAGAACGGGGGGGATAACAGGCTCATGGCAAAGAGACGCTGCCTGCACTGCATGGTGGGCATCAGAGCACGTTTGCCTGCAACCCCATTCCTGCAAACGGGAGTTCTGGCAGCGTCTTTGCCCACTGGGGACCCTGACACCTCTCTTCCCCTGCCCTGCATCACAAAGGCAAGGCCGCTGTGAGCACAGAACCCACTTTACAAGTTGTGCAGCTTTGCCGCACCTTGGACCTTGCCATTTGGCTTCCAGCCACCCTCAGTGCCCCAGGCAGGGGGGTTATTACAACACTGCCCTCTTTTTCCCTGTTCTCTTAGGGTTTTAACTCCTGGATCTGCTGCACAACCCCTGCCCCATGCAGGTGATGCTCGGAGCCTGTGGATGCCTCTTCCTCCTCCTCCTTTCCTCTCCCACCGGCCCCGCTCTGCAGCAGCAAGCCCAGCCAAAAGGCTCCACGTCGAGCCATAACCAATGGCAAATTCTTGGAGTGCAACGTAATGTGCTGGGAAGCGCCTCGCCATTCCACTTGGGAAAGCGATCCGAGGAGGAAAACATGCTTTGTTTTACAAATCCTCTCCCCAGCAGCACAGACACTCCCAGAATGTAATAATCTGAGGGCTGCTTTAACCACTGAAACTCAGGAGGGCCTAAGGAGAAAGCGATGCGCTGTGTGATGGCAAAGCCTGTGTTATCCTGCAGCCGGTGGTACCCACCTGGAGCTGCAGCTCTCCCACCCATGATAGCCGGCTTGGATGGGGAACAGGGAATGGGAGTGGGTTCCCATGTTTCTCCCAAGTGCTGGACACAACTAATTCCATTTTCACTCATAGGGTGCAGCAGAAAGCAGAGGAGATGCTGACAGGTAAACCCAGAATGATGCTTTATAGCAGAAACTGGATTCAACATTACTACCTCCATGGAAGACAACCGGCTCCGTCCAGGTACCCAGGGAGATGCTTCCTGCAATCCCAAACTCCAACCTCAATAAAACAGGAAGTGTCTCAGTGTATTCCTGCTTATCCTCCCATGTGTTCCATTGCCAAAAGCACCCCATGCACATCGACAGCTTGAAGGAAAACCCACCCCATATAAAGAGGGCAGCAAATGGGGAGGGGAACTCCTTTTTGCAGTGTGGGGCTGTTGGCACCAGAGCAGATGGAAAGAACAACCAGAACCTGCCATTGAATCAGGCTGCTGTGCCAAAGGAGCACATGCCCTTTGAGTGGCTGCAGGAATAACACAAGTGTTATTCTGAGGGCAGGCAATGGGATCGGATTGCCTCCGCACTGGAGACCGCTTCTGACCTCCCCGAGGAACAGCATCGGAGCAGAGCAGTCCCATCCTTTATCTCTTCAAACCCAAACAAGTCCACTTTGTACCTTAGTGCTTGTGTAGCTGTTTGCAGCCTCTAAGGGTTCTTGGAAACACTGATTAATCCTTGCAAGAGCCTGTAAAGCAAACAGCATCGCTCCCATTTCAGGGGGGAAGGATGGAGATACCCACCCTGGACACTGCTGGAAGGGCAGGACATGCCCTTCTCCAGTAGCACACATCCATACCCCAGCATGGTTTCTACGCTGCCCTTTGATTATTAAACACAGCCTTTAGCAGGTAGGAGAAGCCCCCCTGAACCTTGTTTTGCAGGGGGTGGATAGGGCAGGATGCTCATGCCAAGGAGAGCTGAAAAGCTGATCAGCCAACGTGGCCACCTTGCTTGAAAGGAAGGATGGAGCACCTCCAAACACGGGGATGCTGTCACCTATCTACTCGCTAACACACTGGAATGGCTTCAGAGCCAGGGGAAGTGAGGAGAAAGCCTCCAAATGATCCAAACCTCTGGGATTTTCAGGAAATAAGAGAACCTAAATGCAACTGAGACCCTGGCACCAGCTTTGCTCAAAACCCTGGGTTCTGCAGCAGCAGCATCACACGTTACGTTAGCAACTTCATGGACCACCCAACACCGCAGCCCCTTTGCATTAGGTACCACAGAATGGCTCACAGGAAAAGGTCTCTGCCCCACCAGGCTCACCCATTGATCCCTCTCTGCATGGGCAAGCTCATCCTTTCCCCCACATCCTCACTTTTTAGGCTGGAGCTCAGCCTCCCAGCCCCAGCTCCTTAGGACCAAACCAAGCATCCCTTGCAGCCACCGATGCACCCCTAAACCAGCACCTCCCCAAAGCCAGCCTATGGGGAAGCACAGCAAACGGGATTTGTTCACTGGGGCATCCCACATTCGCTACCTGAAGGCAGGGAATAAAACCACCTCATTAAAAACGTGCTTCGAGTCTATTATTGTATCTAGGACAAAGTGTTCCTTATTTTGGCACTCTATTTTATCCGAGCAAGCTCTTCAGAAACACTCACAAAGACTCATTTGTCTGGAACAGGCTCCTCGCTTCCCCCAGCATTGTAAAATCCATTCCTAGAGGTTGGGTTTGCCCCCACCCAGATGATGGGATGTCCCCATGGTCGGGTTTGTCATTAGGGCACGTCCCTCGTGCTCTGCGTGGCCAGCCCACAGGAGGAAGAGGATGGTCCAGAGCATCGCTGATGATGAACAGTATCTGAAGCAGGGAAGAACTTCGAAGCAGTGCTTCACAGGATCCAGTTTTGGGGGTGTGTTTGATACAAACACCTTCTAAAACGAGCCCCTGCCCTCCTGCCAGCTCCAATGGGCAGCGATGCAGTGAGAGAGAGGTGCAGTGACAGGGCTTTGGCATGGCTGAGAGGTGCAAGGTCTGGGCACAGATCCCCTGCCCGACTCCCAGCTGCTTCTGTCCCATGGGGGTTTCATGGCCATGTGGCTGCACAGATCCCAGTGGAGAGGTCATTGTCCCAAGGAGTTACACCCCCAATTCCCATTAAAGGGGACACATTCATCTCGGGCAAAGCACGTTACCAAGGTTGAGAGGGGTTTCTGTCAGGGGACACAAGCACATGCAAAACTATTGGGATTTCTCATCTTGGCTGCTCCAAAGACAATCCTAAATCACGCAAACTGACTGGTCAGAGGGACCCTGTTTGATGGCAGAGTCAGGGACATGCCCCAAGCAACACACCCACTTGCTAAGAAGTTATAACAGGACTAGAAAGTGAGATGGAACAAAGGCAAAGAGCAAAACCCCAACACAAAACCCAAGAGGAAACCCATCCGACTTTGGACCAGCCACATCCTCCCATGCACAGACAGGTCGCCAGGCCAAAACCACAGCTCCTGGTGCCCAGCAAAGACCTGAGCAGCTTTTCCTCAGGTGGTAGAACCGGTTACACCATCCTCGCAGGCTCCTTGGGAGGAAAACCCAGCTTGAGGATGGGTTTGGTTTCAGCTTGCATGGAAAAGCTGCTGCTTTCCGAAGCGCTGCGCACCCGTGTTCTCATCACCATCTATCAGCAGAAGGGATTCAACAGTGATGTGCTGGGCACAGAGCAGCAGCTCCCCGCAGCGCTGCTGCTCCTCCGCTAACGCCCGGCTCCAACAGACGGCCAAGGGGAAAGGTCTTGGGCTCGGCACAATGAATTCCCTGCTCCCACTCGGCGCCTCCCGCCCTCGGCTCTCCAAGCTGCAGCCAACACCAGCACCGATAACAGCCAAGCTGGCAGCTCCCGGGATCCCCAAGCCAGGGAGCAGGGATGCTCCCCAGAAGCTGCTGCCTCCAATGGCCTCAGCACAACGCCAAACTTTCCCAAAGTTGAATGGGGACCTCCACGAACCCCAGGGCGATCAGCACAATGCAATGAAGGGAAGGAGGAACCCGCACCCAGCAGGGTTCCTCGCTACAGACAATGCAAAGCATCTCCCCGGGGGTTATTTCCCCGTCTCCAGCATCCATGACCACCCTGCGGCTCCAAATGACACCCCTGAAGTTCCAAAGCTGGAGCGTGCCCCCTCTTTGCTATGGGGCTTTAGAAACCAGGATGCGCCCTTAGACTGCATCGGGCTCCTAAACCGCCTTTCCCCTTCCCAGGGAGCATCCTGCCCATCCTCACCTGCCTCAGGTGCCTCAGCAGCTCGGTGGCCTCCTCCTGCTTCCCCTGCTTCACCAGCACCAGCATGTCCTGGATCATGCAGATCCGCCGGTGGTAAGGGGGGAGGCTGCCCCCTCCGCCCTTCCCGAACTTCTCGCCGGACTTCACCACGAGGGAAGCGAGGAAATCCCCCCTTTCCCTGGGCGGCGCTTTCCTGCGGGGATGGGCCAGGGGGCTCTCGGCAGCGCTGCCCGCTTGGCAGCCCTTGGTCTGCTTGGTGCCCATCGTGTGTGGCCTTGGGGCTGCATGCAAGGGGGGGGTTGGGGGTGGAAGGCACGGAAGGGAGGGGGGGACACAAAGGGTTTGGGGGTGCAGAATGGGGGGGGGGATGGAGAGGATGCACAAGGGGATGCAGGGGGTGCACAGGGAGATGCACAAAGGGTTTGGGGGGACACAAAGGGATGCCCAGGAGGGCGGAGGGGATGCACAAGAGGTTTGGGGGTGCACAAGGAGGTAGGCAGGGGGATACACGAAGGGTTCAGGAGGTGCACAGGGAGATGCACAAGGGGTTTGGGGGGACACAAAGGGATGCCCAGGAGGGCGGAGGGGATGCACAAGAGGTTTGGGGGTGCACAGGGGGGATACAGGGGGAGATGCACAGAGGGATGCAGAAGGGGTTCCGGGGGTGCGGGACGGGGCTGGGCACCCCGGTATCCTAGCGGGGGGACCGGTACCCAGCGGCGGGGCTGCTCCGCTCCCGCGGGCGGAGGAGAGAACGGCTGCTCCCGGCGGAGAGGAGCCGCGCCTGGGCCCCGCCGCCCCGCTCCATCGCTGCGGGGCTGCGAGCGAGCAGCCGGGATCCGCGGGGGCTCCTTCTCTTCTGCCGGTCCCGGGCGGCGGCGGAGCGGTGAGCGCGGCCGGTGCTCAGCGCTGCAAAGCGGCGGCGGCTCCGCGCTGCCCCCCCCTCTCCTCTCGCTTCCTCCTCCCCTCGGTGCCTAGGGGTGGGGGGGTCCCCGAGGATGATGCGGGAGAACGGCCGCGACTTGGGGGCAACTGTTGCGCGGCGGGGGCTGCCCGGGAGGCGGCGCGGTGCGGCCGGGGGAGGGCCGGGGGCGGGCACCGTGCTCCGAGGCTGGGCTTGCGGAGGAAGCCGGAGCCGGACGGGGCTCTTCCTTCCTCCGGAGGGGATTGGGGCTGCAGCGGGGCTCGGCTGCTGCAGCGCACGGAGGCGGCGCGGGGTATCCCCGACGGGGGGGGTCCCGGTGCTTCTCACCCCAAAGGACCTGCGGGGACTCCCCCAGGGGGATGCCCCAGAGCGGGGCTCCCCCAGCTCCGGTTCTACCTGCGGTAAAACCTCCTGGTCCCCCCCTCACCCGCATCCCTGCCAGCAGCAGCCCCGGTGCGCATCTGGTGTCCTGCCGTCCCCATCCAAACCCATGCATCCCCGCATGCAGCCGCCCCTCCACGCTGCTCCTTCCAGCAGCTCCACATCCCGTATTCCATCGCTCCTTATCTTCCAGGCACTCCGCTGCTGGCAGGGTTTAGGGCACGGATTAAAGCTCTTGGATAAAGATCACGATGAGCAGCTCTTCCTGACAGGGACAGCTCACCTGCTGCAGGAGACACTGCTCAAGGAATGCCTGGGAAGGAGAAGCTTGGACTGATGAGGCCCCAGCAGGAGCCTCAGACCCTCTCCCAGTGCAAGGGGCTGTTTTGCAGCACTGACATGCAGCAAACTCTCCACCCTTATGCTTCTGCTTAGCTAGGGCAGGAGAAGCCCTACTGCAGCCCCTGTGCAGTACCTGGGCTGGGAGAGCATCTCCTGCAGCAGGAATGTGCTATTTGGGGCATTTTGCAACTGTGTTTGAATGAATCCCAAAGCAATAGGTGAGCACTTTTTGCTTCCTCTGCATCCTGTGCAACTGCACATCCCCAAACACACAAAAGCCATGGTAAGCTCATGAGTAAAAGGCAGCCCTCCCCAACAGCCAAATGGCTGGAGACCTCGTGTCACTGTTTCTATAACTCCAAAGACCGATTGATTTAATGCATTTCTATACATGGACCACAAGAACAACGCCACAAGGCCAGTTTCGAGCATCCTTGCTCACCATGAAGCTCCTCATGAGCACATGCAAAGGCCCCATGCCCACTCAGGGCAGCACAAACATCACCTCCAGGCTCGGCACTGGTGGCTCAATGGTACAAGACATTCAGGTCCCTCAGTGATGCTCCATCCCAGAGCATTATTCACTCCCACACCCTCAAAAGGGTCTCATCCAGCTGCAGACCCAACCTAACAGCAGCACTCCGCTTCCATGCCCACATGAGTTTCCATAGGCACTCAAGACACCCACCAGTGGCAAAAGGCCTGACCCCAGTGCTTGTGATGGGTTCTGCTAATGTCATCAGTGGCTCTGCAGCCAGTATGCATTTCTCCTTAGTGCAGATGTGTGCAAACTGCAGATCAGTTGAGGTCTGTCCAAGGGAGTTTGCCTTTGTTCCTCTGTCCACGCTCTTTCTGCTACCTAACATTAAGGATGTGTTAGGAAAGCCTGATGCTTTAGAAGAGAATAACTCCAGATTGAACCCATGACAGAGCATTTCTCCCCTTCCTTAAACTGAGATTTAAGAACATTCTCACTTCTACATTAAAAAGAACCCGCATCTTCCCAATGCATTTGGCAGAAGGCAGGGAACATCCGTACCGCATGAGTGAAGAACCTGATGGGATAAGCTGGAGTGCAGGATTCCAGCAGCCGATACCTCAACACAAGGACCTTTGTGCTCGGCTCCCCAGCACCCAGGTGTGGGCACCCAGTGCCAAACCGCTTTGCATGTGTGTGCACGTCTGCCTTTGGTTTCAGGTTAGTCACGGATGGAACGGGCTTCCTGCTTCCAGGAATCACTGCCTGCTCTCACTGGTAGATCACAGTCCAGTTACACTGCTCCCTCTCCAGCCCGCTCGTGTCATCCTTTGTGATGTGCTTCCTGGTGTCCTGCAGCAAACCCCTCTGTCCGTGTACTCACAGGCTGAGATGGGGCTTTCCAAAGGTAGCAAACCCCTTTCTGATCCCGGGTTCTGCCCAGGATTCCCATCCTAAATGGGAAAACGCACTCTGGACAAGTATGGTCCAATGTGGACCATGAGTTCTGCCTCACTGGCAGGCCATTTCTTGGTGGCTCATCTCTTGGTCTAAACCTCACACTTACTGTTTTCCATAGGGAATAGGAAAGAAACAGCCCCAAATCCAGGGAAATGCGTTTCATCACTCCCAAAACCTTTCCCACAACCAGGATGGGACCAAGCCACAGCAACTGCAAGCACCTGGAGCACCCCCAATCCCATCCATGTCTGTCCCTTCCCCAGGCATTCAAGGAGTTCAAAGCAGAGACTGAGCTCAGACCAAGCTCTCATCACGCTCTCTGCCTTGGGAGAGCAGCGCAGGACTTGCTTTTCCTTGATAGGGATGTGTCCTGGGTTTAGCAGCAGCAGTCATTTTTTCTCCTTCTTGGTAGCTGGTGCAGTGCTGTGTTTTGACTTTCGGGCTGGGAACAAAGCTGATAGAGGTGATGTTTTGGTTTGGCCAAGGACTTTGTGAGTCTCATGCTCTGCCAGGGAGGAGGGGAGGCCGGGAGGAAGCAGAGCCAGGACACCTGACCCAAACTGACCAAAGAGGTACACACCCTGAAATTCTGAGCAATTCTACTGCAGCAGAAGGAAGCGGGGATGCTTCATGCAGCATCCTTGACCAACCCATTTCACCTCCAGATCCCCCATTCCCCTTACAAAGCAGGCTCACTGCGGGGCCTCTCCTCCACCACCCTGGGGAGCACAAGAGGAGGTCCCTGTGGTACTCCTTCATGTACCTTTTAACACAACCCCAACCCAGCACAGGCTGTGTTCATCCCCTGAGAGCACACGGGGGCTGTTCTGGGGTTTGGAGGGATTTTGGAGGGGGGTTGGGTGTTTGGTTGCCTTTTTGAGCTATTTTTGCCACTAACAACTGTTCAATCACGGAGCCCAATCAGAAGAAAAACATCTGGTGGATGCCAGAAGCACACCCTCAACCAAAAGGGGGTGAATGGAGCCCTCTGCAACCGCACTGACCCCTCTGGAGCAGAGGGGAGCAGGGTCAGCCCACAGTCCCCATGTGCACTGGATCCATGCACGTGCTCCGTGCTCCAGAGGCTCTTCCATAACCCCACATTGTGCAGATTCACCTCTCTCCTCCCAGATTTCCCATGCAAAATCTGCCCAAACCCTTCACCCTGAGCACACACAGAAATACTTAAGCTGCCGGAAGCAATCCATCTTCCCTTCACGTGATGCCTCCAGCTTCTTTCCCACTCCACAAGCTGGATGCTGTGTTTATAAAGCCAGAAAGGCTGTTTACACACCGGCTAGGACTTGTTTAGCAAGAGGTTAAAGCTGCCAAATCTTTTCCTGGAGTCATCCTGAAACCCACCCTTTGCTGTCCCTGCAGCAGGAATGAGAGGGCTTGGGGAGCTCTGCGCACTTTGGGCTGTAGGGAGAGTTCTTGCCTTGGGATGCTTTAGCAGTGTCAAAGATCAGTGGGTGTTTTAATGGAGAGCTCTCTTTCTGTACCACAGCAAGGGAGGCAGCTACTTCTAATGTGGATTTGGGAGTCAAAACTCTGGGGGTGAATGCTGAAGATAGCATCATGCTGCAGAGCTACATCCCCTCCCATGCTCTGGTACCCATCCGTAACGGGATGCAGAGCCGCATCCCCTCCCATGCTCTGGTACCCATCCGTAACAGGATGCAGAGCCGCATCCCCTCCCATGCTCTGGTACCCATCCGTAACGGGATGCAGAGCCGCATCCCCTCCCATGCTCTGGTACCCATCCGTAACGGGATGCAGAGCCACATCCCCTCCCATGCTCTGGTACCCATCCGTAACGGGATGCAGAGCCGCATCCCCTCCCATGCTCTGGTACCCATCCGTAACGGGATGCAGAGCCGCATCCCCTCCCATGCTCTGGTACCCATCCGTAACGGGATGCAGAGCCGCATCCCCTCCCATGCTCTGGTACCCATCCGTAACGGGATGCAGAGCCGCATCCCCTCCCATGCTCTGGTACCCATCCGTAACGGGATGCAGAGCCGCATCCCCTCCCATGCTCTGGTACCCATCCGTAACGGGATGCAGAGCCGCATCCCCTCCCATGCTCTGGTACCCATCCGTAACGGGATGCAGAGCCGCATCCCCTCCCATGCTCTGGTACCCATCCGTAACGGGATGCAGAGCCGCATCCCCTCCCATGC